GTCGGATCGGGGGGGGGGGAGGGGGCTCGGTGGAGGCTAATTACTCACGCGACGGCACGCGCTCCAGCCTCAGCCGTGGCCGATGGCCAGATCACGGCGCGGCAGCGTTTCGGGAGTTCCGAAGCCGATCTGACAGCCAAGCCAGGTGCGCAGCTTCGTCCAGACTGTGCGCCTCTCGAGAAGGCCCGCAAGCATCCCCGCAACGCGATCACGATGGTCGCCTTGTCTTGCACTCGCGTCGCTGGTCGAACCGGCTCGGTCACGGCGCTCGATGCTCCGCCGCAGGCTCTCGGCAGGGCCATTGGATCCATCGAGAGTGGTATGGTTGTGGATGCCATGACAGTGGACACTCGAACAATCCGATCATTGAATTGAACATGTGTTTAAAGTGTGTAAGTCAGGTTCTAAAAACGTTGCAAGCATGCTTTACATATGTAAAACATGTTTGGAACATGTTTTAGACACCTGGAAACTATTTAGCAGCACGCTTCCTCTCCGTTAACCGACTTCCACAATGGTATGGGCCCTCCTCGTGCGCACTCGCTGTTTGACGCATCGAACACGTTTTCGACTCGGCGTTTTCGGTGCATGGTGCGTCTCGGGTCGGCCAAGTCCCGATCGGTGCTCCGCCAGTTCAAGAGCAAGCAAAGTGTTAGTCAACACTCGCTCCACAGAGCTGGTCCCGTCCTGTTCTGTGCACTGTGTGGGTCGCACGCTGAGAAGCATAGCGTCGGCCTGTCAGACGAGTGCCGACCCGTGATGCGTCGTGCTGGCACGAGCGTCAAGGACTCCTGGCTCTATCGCCTTCAGAAGCACTTGAAAGGCAGGCACCCCAAACCTGGCCTGTTTTTGGGCCCTCCGGTTGTGCTGCGCGCTCGAGAGTTCTGCGAGACGGCTAGTTTGCCGCCGCTTCCATCTCTCCCTGGTACCTGTGGGGCGGGGAGTGGGTCGGATGCGGGGGCGGGGTGGGCGGGGCTGGAGCCTGTCTCACAGGCTCCCGACTCCCAGGCTGATCTGGCCTTGTGGGAGACACTCGCGGGTCTCCCCGATGCCAGCGACTCGGACGACGACGATCCTGCCCGCGAGGCGAGGCAATGGGTCGAGCTGCGTCTCCATCGCTGGCATCCATCTTTTTCGGACCCTGGGCAATACGCTTCTTTGGTTCGGGAACCCGGGGCCCGCACCCCTCCGCGCAACGCCAGCCCGCGGCCGCCTCCAGCCCACGCCGGCGCCGCCTCGCTGAACAGCATAGGAAGGCACCAACTATACACCAACACCGATCCTGGCCAGGATCACCCTGGGCCCAGGATCGGTGTATACGCCCTCCTGCCTTGGGCAAGAAGGCATATACACCGATCCTGGGCCCAGGGTGATCCTGGGCCAGGATCGGTGTTGGTGTATAGTTGGTGCCCTCCGACAGCAGGCGCTCCTCTCCCAGCTCCTCGTCCAGCGTGAGCGCGGGCAGGCACGCAGGAACCCTGGCGGCGGGGCGCCGCCAGATGGCGACGCCGATGCCGCCTGCGAAAATGCCCACCTCTTCAGAGCTAGAAGGTCAAAAGTTACCATCCCCCTCCTCCTGCCCGTCACGCCTCGGCCTCGCCCGCCCGGGCAGCCCTGCGCCGCGGGGCCCCAGTGGGGTATACCGACAGGGAAGGAGAGCAGCGGGGAGCGGCGCGGGAGACGGAGGAAAAGGAGGAGGGGGAGGAAGAGGAGGAGGAGGAGGAACAGGAATGATGCTGCTGATGATGATGATGATGATGAGGAGGAGGAGGAGGAGGAGGGGGAGGAGGAGGGGGAGGAGGAGGAGGAGAAGGACGAAGGCCTCCTCGCAGACCTCAGCACGCACGCTACACGCCCTTGCGGGCTGCCGTGCCTTCACTTGCCTCGCTGCCCTTCTGCGTGCCGCTGCGTGCCGAGGTCCCTGCAGCCCAACGTGTGGCCCCGAGTCGGTGCACGCCCTTATACGTTGTTTCTGCCGCTCAGACGCTGTGCCCTGTGCCGCCGGAGCCCGCCTGGCGTCAAAAGGAAGGCCTCACCGCCGTGGTGCAGCAGGGGCGGAGCGGTGCCAGGCTCCATCGGCAGCGGGAGCGGAAGGGGTGCGGAGGGCGAGGGGAGGCGCAGGGCCGAGGACGACAGCGACAGCACAGACCGAGCAAGCCGACCGAGCCGACGTCGAGGCCGAAGGCCGGCCAAGACCGACCTCGGCGGCAGAAGGCGCCAAAGAGGCGCAGCGGCGCGGCGGGCACGGGCACGCCCGACCGAGCGGCACCGAGCGAGCGGCCCCGACTGCTGGGGGGGCAGATGGGCACCGAGACCGCCAGCCCGTGGACCTCTCAAGGGGTGCGCTCGGACAAATTGATGTGGACCCTCTGGGGAATTTCGGACTGACCATCGCGACCGCTGAGGATTACCATTCAGTGGCACTTAGTGGCCGCTGGCGGACTGTAGCGGCCGTTTTGTGGCACTTAGCGGCACGTCGTGGCCTTTAGCGGCCCCGAAAGTCCGCCGGCCCCCTTGTGGGGCCACAAGGCTGTAGGGCAAAGGTTTGCTAAGGCTTGCTTCTCCCTGCACCAGTTTCAGGTTCCAGTTTCCACTGTTACAATATTTATGCTCCTTACCTTCCTTGTTGTAGACCGCGCGAGGGGGGGTAGCCGAGAAGCGTCCGGATTACCACGCCCGAATCGCGTGCTCTGAATTCAAAGGGGGGGGCGTGGGACATATAAAAATACCTGAACTTCGCGCCCCCGAAGCCATGAACCCTAGTAAATTACACAAGATTCGCGTCCCCGAGGCTACAAATCTTCGTGAATTGCGCGATATTCGCGCCCCATACTTTATATATTCGTGTCCCCGAAGCAATCAACCGTCGTAAATTACACAATGCCTGCGTCCCCGAGGCCACAAACGCTCGTGAATCACGCCGTGTTCGCGTCCCAGACACCTCAAACCCTGGCGAATTACACTATCTTCGCGTCCCCGAAACCATAAACCATTGTAAAGTATACTATGTTCGCGCCCGCGAATCGGCGAATCCATAGACCTCTGTAAATTACACAGAATGCTTGCGCTCCCGATTCAATAAACAATTTAGAGTCTGGTAAGATTCGCGCCCCCGACGCCTTAAACTCTCGCAAATTACTATGTATTCGCATATCCGAAGCCATCAACCCTCGCACATGATCCAATATCTGCGCCTCCGAAGCCATAAACCTGCGTAAATGATACAATGTGTGCGTATCCGAAGCCATAAACCCTGGTAGGTTACGCAATGTTCGCGTATCCGAAGCCATAAACCTTCAGAAAGGATGCAAGATTCGAGTCTCCGAGGCCATCAACCTACGTAAACAATTTTATATTTGCGACCCCGCAGCCATACAACCTTTAAATTACGCACTATCCGCGTATCCGAAGCCACAAACCATCGTAAATGACGCTGCATTCGCGTCTCCGAAACTATCAACCCTTACACATTGCATTAAGCTTGCAATATACTCGCGTCCCCGAAGACATAAACCCTCGTACATTACGCTATAATCTCGGCAAGGAAACTATTTAACCTCGTACTTTCCAGAACAACGCAATGGGTTTGCCACATTTCTGAAATTCGGCGGCACCCCTCACGCAGATCAGCAGGATCAGGGTCGAAAAACCAATGGGATTTGCCACATGTCCGAGTTCCTGTAGGAAACCTCAGTGCACAACATACGGAGGCAGGTTCAAAATGCAACGCTGAGTCCAACAATATCATCAGAATCTCAAGTTCTCTTGCCGATGCTGCTTCACGGCGGCGCCGAGGCCTCATGATTTAGCTCTTGCGTAGCCAATTATCCGAGAGAAGCGGCCGGCAGCAGGGGGCGAAGCCATTACGGATTACCATTGAGTGGCACGTAACGGCCGCTACTGGCTCCGAGAAATACCATTTAGTAGCACTCAGTGGCCGCTGATGGCTCCGAAAAGTACCATTTAGTGGCACTTAGTGGCGGCACTCAGTGGCCGTTCGTGGTTCCGAAAATTAACATCTAGTGGTACTTAGTGGCCGTTAGTGGTTCCGAGAATAACCATTTAGTGGCACTTAATGGCCGTGTAGTCCCATCTGGGCCACGGGCATGTATATCAGGGTTCGGGGTCGCCGACCTCCGTGAAACCACGGGCGCGTGGTTGAGACTCGGGGCCGCAAGCGTTCGCGCCGCTAAGTGCCGCTATCTTCACCAAAAAAACTACTTCGAAGACATTTTACAGTCCCCGAAGTTAGCCACATAAGGCAAGGGTCTCGAGAAGGGCTGGGCCTGAAGGCTGTTTTTCGTATTGGTCTCGTTCTGTGTTTCGTGTTGCTCGACCTGTCTTCCTGCACCCCTCTGCCAGAACGAGAAAAAAACAAAACACAGCCGAAGTCCAGCAGAGCAGCGCTCGGGCCCAGCCCTGGTCTCGAGGCGAATCCGGCCCTGGCGACGACGGAAGAGCAGCGGCAGCGGCACCTTTCCCTCCACGATGGCAGACGCCGCCGCCGACCTGGCGGCACCCATGTGCCGAGCGCAGCCGCCCGCGAACGGCAGCCAGGCCGACCGGACCGTGGACTCCCCGTACCAGGAGAAGAAGCAGCATAAACAGAGGGCGACAAATCCACCCCCACTAATAACCACCCAGGCAAGCGAAGCCGTTTCGTACACGCACCCAAAGAATGAATCGAACAAGGTGGGGCTGTCCAAGGCCGTTTAGCAAACACCGATTATCGGGTCCGGGTGGTTTTCTTCCCTTGCGTAAACATAAGCTGTTGGCGCTCCGCGCGGATCTCTTGGATCTGCGCTGGGCCTCCGGAGACGCCGCCGGGGGGGGCCCCAGCACGAATCCAGGCAACCCGCGCGGAGCGCCAAAAGTTTATGCGTATGCCGTTTTTGTTGCCCTTCGCGCATTGCAGCCGAGCCGACCGAAACGTGGACTGCCCTTGCGGGCGAGGGGCGCGGAGGGGAGCGGAGGACGTCTCGGAGCGAGCGCCGCCGTGCTCACTCGGCGGTCACGTCCACCACCGGCTCCGCGCCGCTCGCCGACTGCTGCTCCGCCTCCTCCTTGGCCTCGGCACGAGGAGCAAATCGGGTACACGCCGGCGGCGAGCGAGGGGGGGGACGTGAGAAGGAGAAGGCCTTCTCAGAAGGCGGCGGGACTTCTCAGAAGCCCTCGGGCCTTCAGAGAGGTTTTCGGCGCCTTCGGGGGAGGCTTAGAACACCTCTCGGAAGGCTGGGGGGCTTCCGGGCCTTCTGAGAAGGCCCGCCCCTCCTCACCTCCCCTCCGGGGCTCGCCGCCGAGATCAGGAGTCCGTGGACCTGGCGCGTGGGCGGCAGACCCACGGATAGCGGAGAGCGGGAAAAACACGCCCCGAAACGTGCAACCAATGCCTCGGCTTTGCACGGCAGCGGGATCGAGGAGAGCACGCCCCGACGCTTTTGCCGTCGGCGGCCAGGCAGGGGCCGTCTGCGCTGGCGGACGAGGCCACCTGAACGGGGGTGCCGCTGCACCCCCCCGAAGCATTAGGGGAACGAGCAATGACATAAACATACACACTCTCGGGAGCGGCAAAGAGGGGGGCGTCAAAGAGGGGGGGTGCAAATCATGACCGGCGGCATGTGCGCGGCCCAGCGGGGGGTCCAGGGACGCAATGAAATGAGCAGAGGCGCCATGAAATCTGGGAAACATCATGGCCCCCGACATGATATCCACCCCCCCCCTAGTCATCCCCCCCCTCTTTGCCGCCCCCGACGCTCGGAGGTCCGCGCGGACCTCTCCAAGTCTGTCTGTGTACGTCGCTGCTCGCTCCCCGGCACGGGCAGCCAGTATGCCTCGGTGCTGCACCTCGCCATCGCTCGGACGTCCATTCCCTGTGTTTTTGTTCGGTTTCGTGCGTGGCTTTTTCGCCAAATGATCAAGGATGCTCCTCGATGGTCCTCGTTGTCGCCGAGAGAAAAAATGCACACGTCCGAGCGATGCCAAGTGCACAGAAAGCGGGGCCCGTCGCTGGACGCCCACACGCCCGGACCCCTGCGCCCGCGCCTCCTCGCCGAGGAGGAGCTCCCGACGGAGGCGGGCCCCGACCCCTCGGGGCCTCGCGCCCGAGATCGGCCTGCCCAGGGCCCCTCGGGCAATGAGAAAGCACTGCGGGGCATGTCTTTTGCCATGTTCGGCCTCGGGGGGCCCTTCCCGGCCCTCGGCACCGTCAGAACACGACTGGGGATGAGACACCGGTCCGGGCGAAGGGGTCGAGACCTCCAGGGGTCGACGCCACGAAAAAAGCATGACGTCGGGGGTCTGGGTGTCGTGCCAGGCCCGGGGACACGCAAAGAGATGGACACAGATCCCAAGATTCCCTATATTTCCCCATATGGTCTCGGCTTTCGTCTTCCCCCCCACTTCTCATGTATGCTCCTCTATTTGCCTAGGAGTCGACGGTTACTTGTGTCTGCGTTTGTCTCCCCTCCCGACGTTCTTCGCTTGACGGCCCCCAGAGGGTCGAGAGCCGCGAGCCGTGAGAGAAGCCCCGGGGCCCAGGTCCCCTCAAGACCCCTTCCCTCCTGGAGGCGAGCCTGCCCCTCCCCTCCGAGATCGGCCCCCGGACCCCTCCAGGGGTGCGCACTGACCAGCATCCCGGGAGCCTCGCCGATGCGGCGAGGGCCTCCCGAGGGGCCAAGCATGACGCTGTTCCCATCGTGCCACAGGACCACGTCCCAGAAATAAGTTCGAGTGCCCGAGAAAGTATCGAAACAGTGTCGAACGGGTGTCGTCTCCCAGGGCCCGACACGTGAAAACCCTCCAACTTCGGCACTTTCTTGGTGCTCGAAATTCTTTCTGGTGGTCAGGGCCAAAGTAGGTTGGAAAATCATAAGGCAAGCACAGAAAAAGCCTCGAGGACCAATCCTTGAACCTCGACGCCCTCGAGCTCCGAGCCTTCGCCTCCTTCATCCTGGCCAGGATCTTCTCCATCATGACGCTCGCTTGCTGGGCCTTCTTCAGGGCGCGCTTCAGCTGCTTCGGGGAGGCGCTCGTGTCCTTCTCCCAGGCCTCCTCGGACTCCTGCACGCTCGCCAGCTCCGCCTGCAGAACGTCGAGCTGCTGGTGGGCGGACTTCTTGTAGACCGCCCGCTGCATCGCCAGCCTCTGCTCGGATGCCGGATGGCGATTCAGGAAATGGTCGCGGGGCGACGCTGAACCGAGCAACGTGCTCGACGTGGGCTCTCGGGCGGCGCCAGGGGTGCCGCGGCGGGCCTCCTCCCCTCGCTCCCCCCCGCCTCGGGCTCCTGGGGTGGTCCTCTCCATCTCGTCCTGCCTCGCCTCGTCCTCGCCTCCTCGTGTCTCCTCCTCCCCCTGCGGCACTGCGGGCAAAGCGGTTCTTGTCCGCCGCAGCCCGCGCCGCGCGCGCGCCCGATCGCGCGGCGCGACGCACGACCCCCTGCCTCTGAGATCCTCTGGAGGGGCCTCAGGAGGGGGCCTCAAAACGCCTCTGGAAACCTGGCCCGCAGACGGGGGAGAGAGGAGCCACAGGGGCCTGGGAGGGACCTCAAGGGCCTAGGAGGAGAGGAAAGCGGAGCCAGGGTCCAGGCGCTGGGGCGGGCCTAGGTTTGTACTGGGCCCGCCACCCCCCGACCACCACCTCCATAGTGGAGTACGTACTCCTCCTCGCTCGAAAGACGCGGAGGTGGTGGTAGTGGGGGGGCAAATGTATTGTAGGGTTGTGGGCCCCCACCCCTCAACAGGAGAGAAACAAAGCCTGCATGGGCGCGAGAAAGGAACGGAGGGGGGGCCCACAACCTACTAGGGGGGGGGGGGGGCGCCCCGCGGGCCCAGGTGTCAGAGGATGAAGGTGGTCTCTTCCCCTCTCGCGGCCGCCAGCGCCCCCAGGTCCGTTCCTGGGGGCCGGCACGCTCACCGCGAGGGGGTGATCACCAACCTGTACTCCGCGGGGTGGTGCTCGCCGTGGTTGTCGTTCGGGGGGCCGCAGAAGTCGCCCATGTGTCCGCCGTATCGGTCGTCCTCCTCGAGGGGGCGTTCACCTCGGGGTTGGCCTCGTTCGCATGCGTACTCGGCGCCATCGCGTGGTGGTTGCCCCCGTTGCTCTTCTTGTGCCCCTGTTACGGGCGTGGCGTTTTCCGTTGTCGGACGACGTGTGGTGTGGTCGGTCGTGCGTTCTGACGTGGTTGATGAAGCAAGGCAGTTCGAGGCTTGTGGCGACGAGTATCCAGGTCGCGGCTCGAGGAGCACCGCGCCTGGACGTTCTGACATCCAGCAGTCGGGTCCTGGCTGTTGTGGATGACGATGCAGTCGAGCATGCCACATATCGTCGGTGCTGGGTCGGCGTTCGGTGCTGATGTGGTCGCCGTTGCCATCATGTCCATCATAGTGCCACGTCTGTGCCTTTGTGTATGCGTCGGCGGTGGGCTGGAGTGTTTGCTCTATGGCCTGCGTCAGTGTCGTTGTCGTGGTGATGTCTGCAGGGCAGTTGCAAGCAGTGAATGCTGTGGTCAGGGTTGTGCTGCACGTCGTTGTGATGTATGCGTATTCCTGTAGCAGCAGGTGTCGGAGGCTGCTGTCCAAGATGATGGTAGGTGTGCGCGTCATCATCATCCGCTGTGCGGTCCGTAAGACGTGCCGCATGCTGTCGTTGTCTTGTCGTACCGCTCTGTGCTGCGTGGGTGTGAGATCCAGTCGTCCCCAAGGTGCCTCTTGCGTCCTGAGGTTGAGGTCGCGGTCGAAGGTCGTGAGGTCGGCGTCGATGATGCAGAAGGCAGCGTGGTCGTATGGTGTCGTGGCCATGTCGAAGCCGTTGGGTCAGGTTGGGGTGGGTGCATGGTTGGCAGGTGGTGGAGTTCGATGGAGATGCTGTGTCTGTCTGCGGTGGCTTGGAGGGCGTCGGTCACCGCGCTGGTGTGGTCGTGGTTGGCGGTGAAGAGCAGTACGATGCTGGGCTTTCCTGTGATGTCGGTCATCCCCGTGTCTGCTCGGTTGGGTCCGCTGTCTTGTGTGGTGGGTGCGTCGGTGGGTATTTGGGCTGGTATTGGTCGGTGGTCGTGGTCGGCGTGGGTTGGTGGTCCCAGTGCTGGCCCATGTAGCTGGATGGGTGGCCGCTCGGCGTAGTCTTCTGGAAGCCCAGCGTGTCGGTTGGATCGTCGTACGCGTCGGGTCTCCTCCTTGTGCGCGTCGATGTCTTCTGTTGGCGGCTTCGCTCCGAACTGCATCAGTGTGGCTGCACACTGGTGTGACGACTTGACGTGTTTGGTAAGTCTGTTCGCGGTGTAGAAGTACTTCAAGCATACCTGGCAGGTGTCGCCGACGATGTAGTTGTCTATGGTGTGCTTGTCCTGGTGGACGGCGTAGACATGCTTGTTGTGTGCTGCTTTGGTCTTGAATGTAGCACCGCAATGGTAACACATAACTCTGGCTGGTGCTGGTGTCGTGGTTCCTGCTTGTCGGGGTAGTGGCGGCACTCCCAGTGCTGTTGCCGTTAGCGATAGGTCTGCCCGCAGCTGGTCCTGCGCTGCTCGGTCGGAGGATGAGTCTTGTGCGCGCTTGTAGGTGCTCGTAATAAAAGACTTGACCGTGTGCATGTCGTTGCGTGCAGCCTTGATGAAGTCGATGATGTCCTTGGGTGCGGTGGTGATGCGGGTGCCGTCGCAGTGCTGTCGGCATGTGTGGATGTCGTTGTTGATGGTTTGCGTCCAGGTGCCGTTGGCTTCGATGTCGTAGTCAATGAGTGCCTGCGTTTCGTACGGGCATCCTTTTATGAGTCGCAAAAGTTCTCGCAGTCGTAGCCATCGTAGTCGGTCTTCGAGGTTCGGTAGTTGAGCACGTGCCAGTATCTGCTCGTTGGTGATGTGCTTGTCCTTCATGGCCTTGTGCGTAATTCCTATTGCCTGTCGAGCCGCAGTGACGTAGGCTGTGTTGATCCTGTGGTAGTCCCGCGCTGTTGTGATGAGCCATGTCCCCGCGTTAAATAGCAGTCTTGAATAGCCGAATGACTCGAGGTAGTGGATCTTAGTCTGGATGGAGATGGCTTGTCGTTGGAACAAGGTGCGTCGGAGTGGGCCTGTTGTCTCGCGTAGCGCGATGGTGCGTGCTGCCGTCTCCTGGCCCATGTCGTTCCTGTCGTTGAACATCGCGCCCAGCAGCTTGGTGCTTCTAGCGATGGTGACGCAGAGCCCCATGTCGGTGATGCTGTGGTTGTCCCGTATCATGGTCCGTGTAGCTCTTTTGCCTGCGACGGTGTTGGGGTAGACGATGAAGCTGGACTTCTTGGTGTTGATCGGGAGGCCTCTTCGCAGTGTCGCGCGTATGAGATGTCCCCACATCTTGGTGATGAGTGCATGGATCATGGTGCCGTCTGCCGTGGATGCAGCCGCCTTGACGTCATCTACGAAGGATGTAGAGGACAGTGTGGCGTTGTGGTCGCAAGCTCGGAGACGTGGTGGGGCATGCGGTATGTCGAAAGTCGCTCCATCCTCGACGGCGTGGTCGTGGTAGTCTCGCGTGACGTCCGCCATGAGCATGTTGAATGTGAAGTCGGCTGTTGGTACGCCAGGGCGTGTACCAAGTCGTGGTGCTGCGTAGCTGCACTGGTCGTCGATATAGAACCAAGTCCCAGTGTGTGCCTCTGTGAGCATGTCGACAATGTGTTGGTTGTCCACGTGTTGGTTGACAATGCCGTTGTCGGTCATGAGGGCCTCAATCGCGGGAAGCATGACATGGGGGATGTCGATGTGGGCGAGAAGGTCGTCCAGCTGCTCCTTGGTCTGGGTGAAGTTGTACACGAGCTGGTTGACTACCTTGTGGAAGGCTGCTTTCAAGTCTATCATGATGATGACCATGTCGTGCTTCAAGTGGTAGGCGGTGTTGGATAGGAGCCGCATCGTCATGTGGTTGATGTCCGTGCTGTAGTGGTGTCGGCCTCCCGTCTGAGTGGAGAAGAGCATCGTGGGGATGAGGTCCTTCATGCATTGTCTGATGTATCTGTAGTGGTGCTTGATGACGGTGTTGGCTAACGTGATTGACCGTTGGTTGTTCAGGTCCTCCTCGCTGCCTTTGCCCTTCCAGAAGTACGTCATCCTGGACCCCTTGAGAGCTACGCCCTCCCTGCAGAAGAGCGCCGCTTTGGTGATGATCGGATGCATGTGTCGGGCCATCTGCCGTGGGGCGATCTTGGAGAAGTCGTCGGATACACGATCTGGTCCTGGTGCGCGGTGAGGTCTCGCTTTGTGAAGGATGTCGGTGAGCTCGTAGATGCTGGCGAAGTTGTTGACGTGGCGCGTTCTCCTGGGCTGAGCTGGGTCGGTCCTGTCCTCCTTGGCGTTGTATCTGTCAACCACGTCCTGAGCGGAGAGGATGTCGGCTGCTTCGTTGTGTCCGAAGTGGCGTGTGGCTGCGTCGGCCTTGCTCGTGGAGCTATCGAGGACAGTGCCGTCTGCTGCGTTCATCATGGGGTATGCTTGCCGCTTACGTCTCTTGCGGCCGCCGAATAGCAGGAGCTTCTTGGTGTACTTCCACTCGGTGTACGTGTCGCCAGTGCGCTTTGCATCCATTGCCTTTTGTGCTTGCTCTTCCAAGAACGCGTCGTAGTCCCTGTCGGTCATCTTGACGATTACTTTTCTCGTGGCGTCGATCCAGTGCCGTACGTGTTGTAAAAACCCATGATAGTCAGGGTTGTAAGGGAAATTCGCTGCAGCGTAGTTGAGCATGTAAGTCTCGCAGTAAGTAGTGTGGATCGCCTCGGGAGTCATCTGAAGGGTCGGGTCGTTGTGGATGTCGTTGATGAGCCTTTGGATTCTGCGCTTTGTCGTGCTAGCTGTCGCTCCATGTGTTGTTGCCTTACGGAGGAGCTTCATGAACTTCCGTCGGCTGAGGACAAAGTCGAGCGTGGTCTCTGAGATGTACTCCTGGTATTTCTTCTTCCCGCTTCTTTTGAACGCTGAGGTCGCTGCGTCCATGATGGTCAGCATGTACTGGTGGATGTGCTCATCGTAGTCCGTCCCCCATGACGGTAAGACAGTAGCGTCCAGGTGCATCTTGAAGGTCTCGACGGCCTTCTCGTCATTGAGCTGGTGCTTGTCGATCTTCGGGAAGAGCTGCTTTGGCGCAGTGTGCCGCACGGTCCAGCAGGCTCGAGCT